GTCTGAATGAGAGCATCGGTTCTGTGGTCGACATTAGCGGTCGCCTCGTCTAACACTAGTATCCGATTGTCTCGTAGTATAGCTCTCGCCAGACATACCAATTGGCGCTGACCTACACTCAGATTACCGCCCCCTTTCGTCACGTGACCGTCTAGTTGTCCGGGCATTGACTGCATGACATCCCGGAGCTGTACCTCAGACAGAGCCGACCAGAGCTCGTCGTCCGAGTGTTCACTAAATGGATCTAAATTCTTGCGGACCGAACCCGTGAAGAGCACCGGATCCTGAGGTATGATTGATATGCGACTTCTTAAGTCATGTAAACCTATAGTTTTGATGTCCACCCCGTCTATCAATATCTGTCCTAAAGGTTCTGTGAGTCGAAACAGGGCTGCAATGAGTGACGACTTGCCGGCGCCCGTCCGGCCCACGACTCCCACCTTTTCTCCCCCTTTGAGGCAAACATTGATATCTTTGAGCACTTTATGCGGCGATTCGTTGTATTGAAGACTCATATCTTTGAACACTATTTCTCCCATTTGTGGCCAATTTTTTGGCGATTTCTGATCAGGAGTGGACTCGAGCTCTGCCTCGGGTTTAATGGCTGTGTATTCTAAGACTCGCTCCACAGAAGTCATATAAGACTCGGCATCGGTAGACAATTTAACAGTCCATTCACTCAAAGTGGTTAACGATAGGGCTTAAAAATAAATTTTAATTAATTAAATTATTTATTATTAAATAAATATTAATACCCGAACTTAACAATAGTCCAACATTTCCTCCGGAAATATCTGTTTAAAAAATAAACAAAATTAATTGTGACCTAAAATTAAACTATAAAAACATACGGTCACTACATATCATAATATATATGATTACAGCACTCAGATATAATATGCATGTCATGTCCACTAAGACTGCGAGTGCCCGTGAAGTGCAAATGAATAGGAAGGTCGTAGAGATGTTGTCGTTTTGGTGGACTTCAAACTGACGCTCAAACATATGCTGTGCGCCAAACGCACGGATCGATGTCAGCCCACACAGCGTTGTGTTCACGTGAGAGTACACCGGACTCCGAGCTATACATGAACGGGTGATAGATTTTATTTAATATTTTATAAAAATAATTGATGTGAAACTCACACAACCCTTCCATACGTTTGATATCTCTCGCGGCTCTGATGTAAAAATAGCGACAAATAGACACTAATAGCAACAAAAGTGTTGCCGGAAATATCAGATACCAATTGACAATTGCATTCAAAATCAGACTTCCAATAATTAAGCATATATTCTATTGATTTATAACAGTGTTTGCGTTATAACTTAATTAAATAAATGGGTTATTGTAATTTACAATTATAACTTCAATAGCAATCGATGGCAACAATTCGTCCACAATTCCCGTGTCTTTCGAAAATCGATTTAGAATTCGTCCTAAAAATAATTTATAAATTAATTGATTTATTAATCATTAAAATGATAGCAATTGTGTTAATAGTCTAACCGATGGGCGAACTCTCGAACAGATGTATCGGTGATCGCAATAATGCATAGAATATTCGGTTATAGAGATTAACCGAAGATCTCATACACATTATGTAGAAACAAATGGTGNAGAATATTCGGTTATAGAGATTAACCGAAGATCTCATACACATTATGTAGAAACAAATGGTGGACAACAGGGCCGACACAAACAGACCACAGGTTAGACTCGTATAAACTATTATGTTAAATGTCTGATCAACTTCATTGTGGGTTTCATTCATTTGATTTGTCCTAAGAGATTGAGTTAAATTAAATTAAAAATTTTTTATATATAAAATCGTGTGCATTACCCGCTGTTTATATATAAGTAAAAAGTAAATTATGACTTGTGAGTAAAATTCAGTTTTAATATCTATTATAGCATTATTTACATTTAGTGTTTTAGTATAAGTGTTAATAACAATTTGCGTTTATTTCTAGAAAATATTAATTATGAATTATTTATTAAGTTAATAACTACATCTAAGTTAGTTTAGGTTCAGGTTTGTAACAGGTTTCACTAGTTATTTCTTTAATATAATATTTTTTCTAAAATCTTTCAACCAAGTGTCATCAACCCATAATAATACTTTAAAGTTTATTACAAAGATATTACAAAGATATTTTAAATACATGTATGTAAATTTCTCTTATGTAAAAAACTTATGAGAAAGTGTTCCTTCACTAGAGGTTACACGGTATGAAATAATCAATGAATTATACCCAATGGGTTATATACGAGTTGAGGATTATCTATTGGTAGCTGTTTTATTTTAATATACTGTATCTAAAATTTTGTAAGTAGGGTATATATTGATACATAAGTGCAGATACTGTAATACACAAGATTTTAAGGTAATACCACTGACCATAAGCTCAACCAATAATCGCTTCCTTGATAGAGAACTTGTGAAATAATGATAAACAAAATGGTAAGTGTTATGAGTAGAGGTCCGGCGCCGGCTTTAATGTAATCCATATAAACAGTGGACTCAACGGATCCAATCATTTTGAGTTCAGCTTTCACTTCCTGTTCGTCCACTTCTATCGGTTCCCAAACGTCCGTCTCTTCCGATCCCTCACTAATGGATGAGACCATCGATGGTGTGAATGAAGTGTTTCTCTTCACACCTCTCCTATCATTTGTTCCATCGGTTTGTCTCTGATATGACATGAGATCAATGCCGCGCTTTTTGAGCTCATTGTAGGACCCGATGGCCACACACTCGCCGTCGTTGAGCACAAGTATTTGATGCGCGTCTTTGAGAAACTGGATGCTATGCGTCACTAAAACCCTTGTCTTGTCTTTAAGGTACTCAACACAACATCTGATCCAATAATAAATTTTAAAAATTATTTTATTGATTATTATACGATATACTTCTGAAAGAGATGTTTGGCCACATGTGTGTCGACAGCACTCAAGGGGTCGTCCAAGAGGTAGATGTCTGCCGAGTGGTACAGAGCCCGGGCCAGACTTATGCGGGCCTTTTGGCCCCCACTTAACGATACTCCTCTTTCGCCGACTAGAGTTTGGTCTCCGTATGGGAAGAGTTTGAAATCCCGATCCAAAGCACACGCCTTCACCACTCGATTGTATTTCTCTTCATTATATTGAGAGCCAAACAGAATATTCTGTCGAACACTCGCTATGAAAGCCCACGACTCCTGCGGCGCGTACGACACCCGACCCCTCACATCCACCCGACCCGACACTAGCGATATCTCATTCAATATTGCCATCAATAGTGAACTCTTTATATGTTTGTTAATAATTAATTTTTATTACAATTTTATAAAATCATTTACTCTATACCTTTCCGCTGCCAACAGATCCGACGACAGCCAACAGTTCGCCGGGTTTTACACTCAGACTAATGTCCCGAAGCGTGGATTCAGTCGTCTCCTAATGTATTCATAAAACTCTAAACACGTGTTGAAAGACATCAAAGAATTCATACATTATTCCAACGAACGCTCATTTTGTCCATAAAAACGCCTTTTTCTTTATTACTCGAAGTGTTTTCCATTTTTATCTCATTTTCCCCCGAAATGAACGCCGCGTTGTCTTTCCCTTCCCTCTCATCCAAACCACTCGTCTCTTCGAGTAATAGAAAATTCTGTAAAATTAAATAATTGTATTTTTGAAATAAAGTTGAAATTATCAAAGCAATCAATTTCATAAATTATTATCTAAATACAATAACCTGGATGCGTTTGATAACTATAATTAGTTCACTGAGTGCGGCTATACCCTGGGGTGCTTCATATCCTATCATCCAACGCATGGCATTACAGTAAGCAATAGTAGCAAAGGCTGTCTCCGCCGACAACATCCCACCCATCAGTATATATGTTAGAAAACAGGCGTATATTATAACCCGATTTATCACAAAATAAATAGAAGTATTGACGCCTTTCAAAAAATTTGAAAAACGGATTTGTTTCACTTCAGCCCTAGTATTATAAATATTATTTGTTTAAAATTTACAAATTATTTATTAATTAATAATTATTAGTATATAATCATTTGTGTGATTACTTGCGAGCGGTTGCGACCAACTGTGCGAAGGGCTGTTCCCAGGCGTACATCTTTATGACACGCATTCCGGCGATAATCTCTTGCATTAAACGGATTCGACTGTCAGTTAATTCGGCCGTCTTTTGACGTATACTCCGAAACATACGACCCATTAGTACTTGAAATGGTATAAAAAGCACAAGTATTCCCATTCCCGCCAAACACGCCCACCGCAAGT